AAATTGTTGACAGTTTATGAACTGTCAAGAATTTGAAATAATCCTTGACCGTTTTGGATAATTCTTGACAGTTATTAATTGTCAAGGAATTGGTTAAAAATAAATTTTATCTTGACTGTTGTAGTCTCAATTCTTGACAGTTTTTAATTGTCAAAGATTAAGTATATAAAAGACAAAAAAATATTGCCTAAAACTTTTCCCACCCATTTTTCATTAACTATTCCCACCATTTTTTCTCTAAAACTTTTGCTTACCCGCTATTTCACTCATTTGTGCAAACCCTTATAGTCGACCTCCTTCCGGCACTGGAACAAAACTTCTAGTTTCTACCACTCTCGTTCAATAGACGACGATTCACTCACTGACTCAGACGCTTATTCTGTGCCTATTTCGATGGAGATTGTTAACTTCGGTGAATTTTGGCGACGTGTATCCCGAACGCCCAAATGTAGGGGTGTTTAGAAAAATGTAAAAACCGAACCTAACCGGAAACTGAACCAGTTTTTCGTTTATCTAGAAAACTGATTCGATTTTGGTCCATAAAAAAAATCTGAATTTCCAATTTCATTAAAAAGTGAACAATTTTTCCTTAAAATTTAAAAAGTAAACAAATTAAAAAGTCCCTAAATCCTTACAATTAAAGAAAAACAAATCCCCAAACCCGATTTTAGGTTAAAATTAAAAAAAAAAAAAAAGTGAACAATTTTGCACATAAATTTTTGAATCTTGAAATTAAAAAAATAGCAAACCCAGTTATACAAAATCCCCAAACAAATTTTACCCTAAGACGCAAAACACTCTCCACTTTGTTCGCATCTTCTTCTCCATTTTTTCCTTGAAATCTAGACTTCTCCAGTTGCCACTGCAACACCTCTCCACTGATTAGATCTCTCTTTCTCACTTACCACCCACACGAGCACCTAAAGACTCCAAACCCAAACACCCTATCACGTAATCACACTCTCCAGTCTCTAGGAACTTTGTTTCCCGGCTAGAAACCCAGCTTCGCCGTGCCACGACCACGACGACACCATCTAAACTCAAACCCATAACATGCTCTTCGATTTATGTAAGGATTTATTTCTTGTCTTTTTCAATTTGACGTCATCTGGTTAATATTGTTATGTTTTGTTACTGGTTTTTGGTTCATCGTGCAGGAATAAGCCAGTTCTCTTTTGTAAATATTCAGTGTCATATCGACCTTCTTTTGTTTAGTGGATAAGTTATTTTGTGCAGTTGCTTCTTTTGTTATTTTGAGTTCATAATCAAACAGTTCGTTGTATGCATTTATTTATGAAGTCGAGTTTGAATAGTTTAGGCCGAAAGATTCTGCTACAAGTACATAGATAGTTGCAAGTAAAAATTATAAGTGTGGCAGAATCGTACTCAACCAATTTGATTTATTGTTTTTGTACATTTCAAAGTTAAAGTTTGATTCGGAATACTGTACAGTTGAAGAGTTTTACACAACCTGAAAATCTTTGGCTATATTTCTTTTCATATAAGCAAAATGACATATTCTTGATAAATTATAAAATTATAACCTAATTTTTTTGTTTTAACTAAGGTAGCACACTTTATGGTATTTGAGGATCTTAAAGTTGACATGAAGACCGAGGCTGTAACAACTGCTGAAAACTAATAAAATGCATGCACAATTTCAATAGAAAATTGGGCCCAAAACTTTCTTTTCATTATAATTCATAAGTCTTATATACACAAAAAGTGTTGTTTACAAAAATTCCTTTCCAAAAGACAAAACAGGGGAAACAGTTTAGCTATTGCTCCTTGCTTGCTGACGCCCCTCCGACTGCATCAACACCTAGATCCTGCATCCACAAAGGAAAATAACGGGGTGAGCACAAAATAATGCTCAGTAAGTAAAACCCTCTATCTGTCTGTCCCCGTATGTATAACTCTTAATTCTTTCCTTATACTATTTCTGGTTCTATTTTTGTTTCTACTAAACTCATGGCCTCGTCTTACCGAGGTACGCGGATGCGTTCACACAGCACCATCTCACTCTCCAGGCCTATCGGGTGGAATTCACACAGTACCAACCCGTTCTGTGACTACCGAATGGGGATCACAAAGCACCTACTCGGTTTTCTTAACTATCGTGGAGACCACCTAGCACCTACCCTTCTCATACTTTTGGTAACGATCACCAAGCATTAACCGTCTCTAGTCACTGTCGGGGATGATCACAAAGCATCAACCCACTTCCTAAATGTCGATGATGATCACAACATCAACCTACTTATCTAATAAACTAACCGGGTGGTGGTCCAAAGCATCCATCCGTTTCTAATACTTTCGGTGATGAATCACAAAGCATCAACCCCTTCTCTAATGGCTATTCGGTGGTGATAACAAAGCATCACACCCATTCCCATGACTGTCGGTGATGATCACAAAGCATCACCCCAATTATACTACTCTCCTAATTCACTCTATTCCAACATTTCAATTCCTCTACCTTGATTAGTTGTACCCACCAGCTCTCTACTCATGGGGTGATTGCATACAAAATTTTCCTACACTTTCTTAGGTCACTTTCAATGCACAATAGTGCTTATGGATGGTTCATCACTACCAATGCACTTATGAAATGCCAACATGCAATTTTGCAAGATTAAGGTTCATTACTCATACTCAAACCTCTTTAGGCATTTCATCAAACAACTCAAGGGCACTAATAAACTCTACTATAGCAATGGTTCTAAAACTCTTTCTAACCATCCAAAATGGGGAGAAACCCCTTCACATCACACAAAACTTGTCAAATAAAACACTTCCAAAAAGGGATCCACAATACCCCCTTCAATTCCATTCAAACTACCTTTCCAACCCAACAGCTCATTTCTCATATTGCAAGGTGTAAACACTCACAAGGCATAGAAATCTCTATTTGAACCTCCATACATGGCAATATCACAAGTATATCACATACATACATCTTTCTATCAAAACCCTAATCAAAAATTCTTAAATCTCAACTTGGGTTGGGGTTTACTCTTTGTTATGGAGAGACGTCCCAACTCTTCTTTCACTTGGTTTCTTGGCCTTTTTCTCTACTCTTAACCAAAGAACAAAACCCTTAACCTTCATATAAGCTAAAACTCACAAAGTTACACAACCAAAGTAAGAATCCTTACCTTAGGAAGCCTTAGGTTGATTTTTCTACCCCAAATCACTTCAAAAACCCCTTGGAACTCCTTGATCAAAAGAAAAGAGAGTTGGAGGAACGAATGAGAGCTGCGTTTTTTGAGAAGAAGAAATGAGGGGTTTGCTAACTCTAATTCCTTTAATGAAAATACCCAAGCATTCCCTTTTTGCCCCTTACTCTTCTTTGGGAATTCCATCTATATCCTTTGATTCATTACAAACTCACCCCCATATCAACATATTCTCCATGAAAAATCCTTACAATTAACTCCCCACTTTTCCTGCTAATTAGGGGTAGAATGGTCAAATAGCCCTTAGGGAAGAAAATATCTAAAACTTAACAAACATTTTAATCGGCCTGTCGCCGCGGCGAAACTGTCCAGAGAGTTTCCCCATGGTTTCAACACATCTTCGCCGCGGCGAAGATTCTCCTTCGCCCCGGCGAAGCTTGGCACACTAAACTTCTTCTATTTTCAACCAATTTCAGGGCAAGCATTCAACACAATACTCAATCAAACAATATTACCAAAAACCAACTCAAATAAGAGCGAAAGAGGAAACAATAACTACGTACCTCATGTGGGGCGTTGCAGTGGCTGAGAAGAGTGCGGGCACCACTGCTACTACAACCATAAAAAAGAAGGTATAAGTTACGTAAATTGAAATTTAATTAATTTATTGATCATTTATACTCATTTACATTATCACTAGTAGTATGTTCTCTATATGGATGAACGTGGTTTAATTAGGTTGAGTATTGTCTTTGTGATAGAACATATTTATGATACTGAATTTATGTTTTGTTTGTGAACTTAGAAGGTCACAATGGATAAAAGATGGATTTGGTTGTCTAATAGGTTGTGCGATGAATATATTCAATAAATTGACTCTTTCATAGACATTGCAAAACAACATGTAGAACCTCCTTTTAGAGAAAGATCCACTTTTTCCTTTAAATCCATAATTCCCTTTCTCATTTCCAGGCCCTTAGCTTCCAAGATTAACCTTTTAATTGCTCTTTCTATCTCCCCCCTCTCTAGCTTCTTCTCTAAATGCAACCTAACCTTCCAAACATGACTAACATATCTTGCAAATCACCAGTTGATCACCAAAACTAGGGTGGCAAATCATGGGGACCCCTTCACATATACTTTCCAAAGTAGAATTTTAACCATTGTGTGTCCAGAAACCTCTTGTGGCAGGATGAGCAAGCAATTCTTGCTGGGGAGCCCATTTCACTATATGTCCTCTTCCATCTAGCATTTCAAGGAACCTTTTTAGCAATGCTTCAAGCCATTCTGCTCCATGGACAGAACCTGGTCGAACAACCCACAAGAAAGGCACTCCGCTATTGGCTAATCCCCACGCTATCTCCAAAAATTCAGTTTCATTAATAGCAACAATGCTATTATTTTTAGCACCTTTGTTGCAACTTTTGTTTTTCTTGCTTTATTCTCTGGGATTCCTTTAATCCAAGTTCATTAACTATTTAATTTCTGTTAGCTTGTTTTTAAACTTATGTAAAAATTTAACTTTAAAATCTTAAACTAGAGAATTGAAGTTTAGATTGATAATTTGTGAGATACTGGTTTTCTACTCCATCAATTTGATTTTTGTTTGGTGCTGCAGTACATTCTGTACTGCATTTTCTTATTGTAAAATTAATTTCTGTGAACTTTGAGGAGTAGTCTTTCTTTTCTGTTGTTATTTCATAAGTTTTTGTCACATATTGTATACCTCAGANGCTGTTGTTCCTTTCTCCTGATTGTAATCATGTTAAGCTTCGGCTTTTTTATTTTTTCCATAATTTTTGCCTGAGTGGAGTCCTGAAAATGCAGGAAGAGAAAGAAAAGAGGCTGGAGGAAATGTTTGAGTCGGACCTTGACAATGCAATAGAAAACAGGTATGCACCCAAGGAAGAACTCCCAGAAGAGGGAGCAGTGGCCTTAGCTGGGAAGAAAACTCAAGAAACCCTTACAGCAACTGATTTGATTATTGAAGCTCTAGACATATCAGAAGAAGAATTGGATCGTATTGCTCAGCATGAGGTATAGTAACGTTCCTTTTATCTAGCAACCATAGCACATCCTGATCTGATCTGTGCTTGCTCTGTTTTCTCCTAAGTCTTATGAGGTATACTAATGTTCCCTTATGAGAGAACCACTGCAACACTTATCAGAGAAGAAAGAGTTACTGTGTACTGTACTGCTTTTTACCCTCTTTGATGAAACTCCCTCTCTCATAATGAAGAGAGGTAAGATAGCAGTTCATGAGTAGTTTCCCTCAGGTTGCACAGTCAAAGAATTAGTTTTATCTTGTTTTTTAAAGACAAATTTTAAGTCTGAATGTCCTTGTTATTGCTCTTAAAAAAGCATTGTTTTCCATAAATATGTTAATCATTAGGATCAAATGCTCACAATTTTTGCTTTAAATTCTCTATGTTAATCTGCAATTACTAGTGCTTTTTGTTAAGTTTGTAGTTTTAAGAAACCTTATCCAGTCTTTTTCTTATTTCTTTATTACGCGGTCTTACCCATAAGTTTTTTCTTTCTGCCTACTTTGTTGTCCTGTCTGTATCACATTTCTTACCTTTTCGAGTTCCAAAAACTGGTATCAGTTCTGTGATAATCTAGGACCTTGAGTCAAAAGGCTGTAAGATTCAATGATATGTCTCTATTTAGAACTCAGCACTTTCAAGAAAGATCAGAGTATATATATATAATGCAGATGAAGTGTATGGAAGTGGGCAGTGTGATGCCAATCTCGTATTCAAAATACAGTTGCTATAATAAAATATGGGCCGACTTTAACAGTAAATTATAACATTTCTATTGCATTTGATACTTTATTTTTGTGATTTTCAGGAAGAGAAAACCAGGGGAAATGTTGCTGAGTTTAAACCAGATATAAGAATGCTTGGGCTCTCTCCCTCAGATTATGTTCTCCGTACGCTCTCAAATGTTAACACTAATGATCTGGAGCAGACCTTGCTGGTAAGCAATAGCGCTTCATTCATTTTCTTGCCATCCCGCATAGTATTCTGTTCTCTGGATAAAAAGAAAGCAATATAAATAGGGGAACCAAATGTTATCAATTTCATTGTGCTAAATTATTTACAATTTTGTGTTGACGAAAATCTAGAGTACAATGCTTTTCGTAAATTGCTCTTGATGAGCATTCATGTAGTTGACTAGTAACCTTTTGTAGGTTAGTTTTATTATCAGCTTATTTAATACCTTGGGTCTGCATTTCCCATGTTTCAACTGAAGCTCTAGATTAAGTGCTCTGCATATGTAAGTTGCCCAAGTTAGGGTGCTTATCAAAATGTTGTATTTAGCTTATATCTCATCACTGTCACCACAATTAAATTTTTATTTTGTTGGAGTTTGGTATATATTTTTTCCCTCTCTACCTCAAAGATGCTTGTTTTTGGCTCACTCGGAATAAATAAATAAACTAGTAAGAAATCCAGTGCATCTATAATAGTCTTATACTATGTGGGTCCAGAAACCATTGCTAATCAGACAAAGGAGAAAAAGAAGAGGAAGAAAAATTGGACCTTTGCTTCTAAAAGTCAAAAAAGTTTTTGTCAGGCATGTAAAAAATTCACATATTTTCTCATTGGGTGAGTAAAAATAGTTTTTACAGTAGTTCTTGGATTGTTGAGGTAATCCATTTATCATTTTTACTGTCGATCAATTTCTAATTGAAAGTTTGATATTTATTTTCTGTTCAGGCGTTACCATTTGCAGATGCTCTGAAGCTTCTGTCTTACTTGAAGGATTGGGCTTCTAATCCTGATAAGGTTATTCTATTCGCACTTTGGAATATACAGAATTTTTGGCATTTGTAGTGTTACAATTGAATATACTGCCTTTTGTTGTGTAAATTAAGTTATGGCCTGTCATGTTTCTTTCCATTCTTAATTTTTTACCCCTGCATTCCATCTCACTCTTAGTTTGATCATTGACATGCTTGTGAATTTGGTTTGGGTACTGTGTACAATTTTTCTATTGAAAAAAAAATGAAAAAGCTGAAAATTTCTTGCTTACTGTGTCACATGGAAGTCAGATGATTTTTAATTTGGAAGGCCAAACTTTGTGGTAACTATTTTGGAAGTTTCTATTGGCAGCTTTCTGTCTCTGCTTTAGGTTTATGACCTATCTTCAAATTCCTTGCAAATTTCATTTTTATGGGTTTAATTATCTTGGTAAAATATAATTTGTAATACTACTATAATTTATATGCAGGTTGAGCTTGTTTGCAGGGTTGCTACGGTGCTATTGCAAATACATCATAATCAGTTAATTACTACCCCAGCAGCCAGACCTGTGTTGACTGCTCTGAAAGACTTCCTATATGCAAGAGTCAAGGTAACAATGTGTTTTTCTTTTCTTTTTTCTATTTAGAATACATTTGTGTAGGTGACTGGAAATACTGTAATATGTTAGCTGAGTATTCCAAAATCTGAACTTCTGATTAAATTTGTTTCTCACTATTGCTCCGTTAATTGCACTATATTCTGAATTCTGGACGAAATATCTTTTTGTAGGATATGACAATGAAAACTGGTATTCAAAAAAAATAAAAAATAAAAAATAAATAAAAATAAAAAATGAAGATGATATGTTGCTTATCCAAGTGTGCTTGCATGTTTGCAAAAAATTATATATTGTTGGTGTGGGTACAGTGGTTACATCTATCGATTCTTTTGTAATAATTAATATATATTTTTTTTTTTTTACAAATAGGATAATTCCTTGTAATTTTGTCGTTGATTGAATGTTATTCCTTGTTACAAAGAATTTTGCTGCATGAAATTTTGTTGTGATGCCTGAGGAAATCACCTATTATTGTAATATCCATGATTGTGTTAAATTTGCTGTATCAATGGGTTTTTAATCAGTTTGCTGAAATGATGGTGGCCCTTTAACGACACATCTTTTATCTTTTATTCAAGATTTCAATTAGTCAGGTTGTTTCATGATAAATAATACATATGAAAAATTTGAAGATCACTCAATGACTAAAGCGGCTGTGATCTTGTGTCAGGAACGGAAAGATACTATTGGTTTTAATCTTGCTGCAATGGATCATCTCAAGGTGGGTGGTTGATTTTATGGATAATTTTAGGAATTCTGATAAAAATAAGCCTGAGGTTTAAATTTTTATTTGTGATTTCAGCAATTGATGGCTTTGAGGTCAGACGCACTCTTCCAAGATGCAAAGGTGAAGTTACAAGAAATCCGATCATATCAATCAAAACGTTTAGAAGCAAGGGCAGACACAAAAGCCGAAAAACGAAAAAAGAAAAAACAGAAAAAGTCAAGTGAAATACATGCTTGGACATGATGCTGAGAAGTAAAATTTCGAAGGAATAGAATACTTACTGCTGCACAAGTTGAACATACATGATAAACTGCATTGGTTGGCTCAAGAAAAAGGGAGTCGGAAGAGCATGTCTAATTTATGGCAATTGATTATTTTCTTGTAGCTCAAAGCATGTAGAATGAGGGCTTTGCCTTTCTAAAGTTTTGTTTGTTGTAACATATGTCAATGATTTATAAGGTTGGTGAATTTGAGTTTTTCGGGAGTAGTTAGCAAAAGTGAAATAGACAAAAAGTGCACATCGGGTTGAGTCGGGTCTTCACAGTGATCGTGTTGGTATTGGGTTGTTTAGGTGCAAATCCAATTCTGTTGGGTGAGTAGAAAGTCCAAACAGCCCGACCCAACTCGTGGCTGTTATTTATTATTATTATTATTTTTTTTTTGAGTAAGTTAGGTTCATAATCTTCTCTCACAACCATTATGCGTAGCGTGTCATTAGTCAGTTTGTAAAATAAGTTTTGTTTGCTTGTATGAGTCTTATTATCTATTTACGAACTAACCAATGATGAGTTGTTATATTAGGGTTGTGATAAAAGATTGTGGATCCAGTATTTCTGTACTTTTTTTGAAAATTTTATAACGCAACTAAGAATTAGAATTAGGGATGGCAATCAAGGGTTTATAATGCAACTAAGTAGGGATGGCAATCAAGGGGGGTAGGGGTGGGGATCATCATCCCATCACCAAAAGAAAATTTGATCCCCATCCTCGAATTGGCCAAAACTGGGATGGGGAGCGATCCCCGAACGGGCAGGGAACCGTTCCCTGAATATTAAAAATAAAAAAATTATTTTCTTTTTATTTTAATATTTTATCATGATAAATTTGAAAGTGTATCTTATTGACTTATTCAATAATAAGCACCAATAATATTTTTATTAAATTATTCAACTTTAAATTACTAAAAATATAATATTAGAATGATAAATCTATAATCATAATTGAATAATTTCTATTAACATAATGTTAGAATAAAAAAATGTTATTGTATTGAAACTCTTAATTTTTTTTTTTTTTACCTTAAATTGTTATGTGGTAATAGAAATTGTTATATATTTTTAAGACAAAATTAAAATAATTTTTTTGATACTTAATTATTTTCATTCCCATCCTTGCCCCGACCCGTCTCCAAAACTTTGGTAGGGACTCGTGGGTACCTGTACACACAGGGAAACTTACCATCTGTAATGAGAACTAACCCTTTCTTACCCTCAACGTCTTAACTCCAATTTTTCTTTTAACAATTGTCATTGATTCAGTTAATCAAAACTTTGATGTTAAAACTTTTAATAATGCTACGGACACTGGGATTGTGCACCGAATTTTTACACCGAATTACGTGTCTTGTGACTCAGACCAGCCACGTATCCCATTACCAAATATTTTGCGAGTGAACAACCGTTCACTTACAATGGACTCCCGTCCATATAATCGTTCATATTATATGGACAAGAGTCCATTTACTATGGATGGGAGTCCACATTTAAAGGACCCCCGTTCATCAGTAAATGGAAAAAAAACCACATAAACAAAAATAATGGACGGTCGTTCATAGGTTATGGACGACCGTCCCTAAATAATGGGCGGGCGTCCACAAATAATGGACGCTCGCCCATACTTGAAATAAAATAATTTATGGTCGAAATGCAAGGACGCCCGTTCATCAGTTATGGATGGCCGTCCCTGCCTTTTGGACGGGCGTCCACATATAACGGACGCCCGTCCATACTGTAAATTAAAAAAAAACAATTTTTTGGATGCCCATCCATTATTAAGTGGATGGGTGTTCCTAATTTGTGGACGAGCGTTAACATATAATGGACGCCCGTCAATACTTTCAATTAATACAAAAATTTTAAAACAAATTTTTCAGATGCCTATCCATATGTTATGAACGGGAGTCCATATAAAAAGGACGGTTGTCCATAATATAATAAAATGTTTTTTTAAATTTACTTTTTTTTTTCTATTTGTAAAAAACATTAGCTTCTCCAATACGACTTCTCCAAACAAGCGCCAACATTTTGCGAGCGAAACAAAAAAGAAAAAACTTCATTTTATACATGTCGCCTTCTGCTTCATCGTTCCCGTCTGTTCTTTGTGTCTGCATTCTTCTCGTCTGCGGCTATACTAGTTTCTTCCTTAACAGTGACAATCGGTCTCTTCCTCAACAACCAACTACCGTGATAAGAAAGAAAGCCATAAATTTTTCATAAAACAATCGTTTAGGGTGGAAAGGGAGATAGGAAGATCAAAATTGTTTCAGATTAGAAAGATTTGTTGAGGTTGTTTAGCGGTTTTTATTTAACTTATGCATTTATTTAGTTTTGTATTCTATTTTGGATTAAATATATGTTACAATAGAAAATAACTGATAGAGAATATTTGTTGGTGATTGTAGTGAATCAGATTCGTGAACACGAACACTAGTATTGGTTTTGCATTAAATTACAGAATATGAAGTTTGCCTCATTTCAATGATGTTGAGGTAAATTGTGCTCAAAAAGCTTAACTTTTTTGTTAACATGATTTTAAATTTATTGTATTGTTTCTTATGATATGTTGTACTGGTACATTCTAATTTTGTCCATTATAAAACTATTAAATGATCAGGAAAATGAACGTGATGAATTAGAAGATATGGGATGTGTAGAGGAAGAAGTGGAGCCTCATATTAGAATGGTGTTTGATTCAGTTGATAGTCTGGTGAAGTATTACAAACGGTATGGTAACAAAATGGGATTTGAAGCAATGATACGTACGTCAAAGAAAGGTGATGATGGAGAGATGAGATATGTGACAGTGGCATGTTATTGTTTTGGGAAGGAGAGATGTAAATCCAAAAATACCTTGAAAAAGCAACTTGTTGCCAAAATAGATTGTAAGAGTCAAATTAATGCAGCTTTGAATGGTGAATGCAAATGGGAAATTAAATCAGTTGTACTTGAACATAACCATGATCTTACAAGTCCGACAAAAAGAAGATATTTCAAGGTTAACCGAACGATACAACCTTATGTGAAAAGGAGGCTTGAAGTTAATGATGTGGCTGGGATTAGACCGTGTAAAAATTTGCAGTCATGTTTAGTTAAGGCAGAAGATGTAGAAAATTTGATGTTTCTACAAAAATATTGTCAGAACTACATTGAAAAAGTGAGAAGGCTATGACTTGGAGTTGGAGATGCTTCGGTAGTACTTGAGAGTATTTTATAAAAATGCAAAAGGAGAATTCAAATTTCCGATATATGATTGATGTAGATGAAGGAGTTGATTACAGAATGTGTTATGCGTTGATGCTAAATGTAGGGCTGCATATAAAGAATTCGGTGATCTTGTCACCTTCAACACAACGTATTTGACGAACAAGTATGATATGCCATTTATTACTTTTGTGAGGGCTGATCATCATGAACATTCGACGTTGTTAGGTTGTGGGTTAATTTCCCATGAGAATACTAAGACATTTGTATGGTTATTTCATTCTTGGCTTGAATGCATGGATGTTGCTCCTAATGGAATTATCAATGATCAAGATAAGGCTATGTAAAATGCAATTGAGATTTTTTTCCCTGGTATAAGACATAGGTGGTATTTGTGGCATATCATGAAGAAATTGCTTGAAAAGTTAAGAGGGTATAAGGAATATGAAACTATAAAGTTAAATTGCAAAATATTGTGTATGATTTCTTTACGCGTGAAGAGTTCGAAGAACGGTGGAACCAATTTGTTGATGTGCACAACCTTCACAAGAATGGATGGTTATGTGGATTGTACAAAGAAAGAGTACGATGGGTGCTTGCATTTCCTAAAGATACTTTTTGGGCAAGTATGTCTACTACCCAACGTAGTAAAAGTATGCATGCATTTTTTGACGGATATGTAAATTCCAAAACTACTTTGAAACAATTTTTGGAACAATATGATAATGCATTGCGAGATAAAGTGGAAAAAGAAAGGGAGGCTGATTTTAGATCTTTCAAATCTTGGATGTCATACATAACTAATTACCCTATTGAGAAACAATTTCAAAGTGCATACACAACTGCAAAATTTAAAAAGTTTCAAGAAGAGTTTGCGGGGAAGATTTATTGTGAATTATTTGTTCTGAATAAATGTGATTCATACGAGGAGTATCAATTTTAGAAGATGTTTGGTTTGGACATAGTAGTCACCGTGTTCCCTTTGTGGTATACTTTGAAGAAGGTTCATGTGATATTCGTTATACTTGTCATTTGTTTGAGTTCAGGGGGATTTTATACAGATATGCCATTATGGTGTTGATTCATAAAAGAGTTTCACACGTTCCAGAAAAGTACATTTTACGACGTTGGAGGAAAAATATAAACAGATGCCATACGAAAATTAAGGTGAGTTATAATAGGTGGAGCACCAACGTTGAAGGACAATGTTTTGATAAGTTGTCTAATATAATGCTGACAGTAGCCAATGTGGCATCAAACAATGAGGAAGATTATAATATGTTGACGGAGTTTATGATTGACATGAGAAAAAAGTTAGAGCAAAAGGAAAGTGAGGGAGGGCTTGGTACAAAAGTGAACATCTCTTCCACAACTGGTTTGAGTAGTAAAATGGGGACAGTCCTCCGAAAGAGGGGAATAGTCTAATTATTAGTCCACAGGCAGTTCGTAGCAAAGGTCGTCCTCCATGTAGAAGAAAGCAATCGAAGGTTGAAGAAATTGTACGTATGATTAAAAAGAAAAAATTACAAAAACAAAGAATTAGTATGAGTTATACACCTATTCTTACATGATATTTCTTTTTTAAAACATTATTTACTTATTTGAAGTTTATAATAATATCGACTTGATTATTAATGTGTTATGCTACTTTTTAGGAAAAAGATCATCAGTAAAGCGAGAAAATGAACAGTTTCTATCATCTACTTCCGTGGTCGATGCAAAAACTCAAGTGTTGTCGAATGATGTTGTTACTACCTAGGTATGTGTTATGTATGTTGTATAATTGTAATTGACTTAAGTTTTCTATAACGTGTGCTAAATTGTGATTGTTAAACAATGACAGTTGTCTACTGGTCCTGTTCAGAATCTCGCAGGACAAAGTAATTTCTGTACTGGATATGAGTTTGTAAATGATGAACATGTCTCGTTGGGAGATGTTTGATATTTGTTG